GTGCTTGTTTGGTCAACCAGGCTGTTGCTGCTGATGGCCCGCTGCCCCACATATAACAGCTTGGTTCAAGAAGTGACTGGCTCCAATTCCTTGGTCAAGTACCTTTCATTAGTATCACAATACCCCTCCTATCCCCGTAAGGGCTTGCAGTTCTAGAGTTTGATTATGTGAATAAAAGTATAAGTAGAAGGTATATTAATACCGACAGTATGGATGAAAGGGCGCAGGTGTATACACTTATGACATCTTTATTTTATACGTGTACATTTTGGTCCTGGGACCTTGGTCATTCCAAATGATCAGTTGCAGTGACCAAGGTCCTCGGACCAAAACGTATATATCCAGTTAAAATATGTGTATACACTGGGACCAAGGTCCCAGGACTTAAACGTATCCACTAAAAAATGTCCCAGGTGTATGCACTTGTCCTCTCCCCCGTATGTGTACAGTGGTGGTGTCAGACAAAGGCCAGGGTGTAAGTCGTGACTACGAGCGTCAAGGTCATGTAACGACGTAATGGTAAGCAGTAAATGATTCCTGACCATTAGCAAGACTCACGCACGCACTGACACTGGTATACATAAAAAGCAAATCCTACATAGCAAAAATTACCCTATATGGTTGGTTAATTGGATTCAAAGCCGACTGACTATACGAGGATCATTGAGGCTATGTGTAATTTGTTCACCAGTAAAAAATACTTTAATACCAAATATGGGACTAAGAGGATTAAACTCCCAAGTACAAATGCACCGTTGCTCATAGTATATATACATCGAGAGATATAATTTTTAGAATATATATCAAGTGTACCCTAAATAAATAGGTGATTGGGGAAAGCCCTGTTCGAGTTTTTATGGAATTTGAGTTGTACTGACGTCTTGAAATTTTCTTTGTTTTTAGACGTACTTTTAAAGAATAACTGACAAATATTATTTCTTGCATGCCATTTTTAAAACATTTTAGCAGCGATAATTTAAAAAAAATGCTTTAGCTTTATATCACAAAGTGTATATATTATATAGTTGAGTACACAGGTGTTTTTGATGTTCTGTACTTATTCACGCTATATGTTTCATATCTGAAGCCGAAAACACACCAGTACATATGTGCATGTGCACATGTGAACCTACTTAAACACAAAACTTATCCCTCCACAGCGTAGTATAGCTTCTGACGCTGTGCATCCAACAAAATACCACATTTCTGGGGACTCTAAACCCGTATTGATCTTAAAGTACCTGGGGAATGGGAGGTAATCAGGTTTGATCCAAGGAAGGAGCGGGTATCTCCAGCTCCTCAGGTCAAGAATCATTAGCATGAAGGTAACCCCCATTATCATAAAAGCAGTGCCTTATTACTTTTGTCAGTCACAGTTCAGTACAAGTGTAGCCACGAGGTTAGGTTAGGTAAGATTTGTCAGGAATCAGGACAGTTGTCCTGACGCAGGTCTGTCTTAGGACCCACAATTGCAGCTTTTGGTTGTCTGGCCGTGGCCTCCTAGCTTACCCATCCACCCCCTTTAAAAATTAAGGTTATAATTATAACCATAGGCTAAACAAAAATCCTGCTCACAGGGCGTGTATAAAACGGGGCTCTTATAAATACTGCAGCGTACAATCGTGGCTACATGCCTATGGATTAGATTAGATTTTGCCAAAAGGCCTAGGAACTAGGCCCTTTGTGTATCCATATGCTCTCGCGCTACCGTCCACAGGATGGATATGGGGTGCACAATAAACTAGCCACTTCGGTGGCAAAATCTAATCTAATCCATAGGCATGTAGCCACGATTGTACGCTGCAATATTTATAAGAGCCCCGTTTTATACACGCCCTGTGAGCAGGATTTTTGTTTATTGGTCTTACTGTAATGGTAGATATATGGGAATACTCACAAATTGTAGTTGATAAGAGACAAACAGTAATTGGGAACTTTATGTAAGGCAAGTTTTGGTTTAGAAAGACACGTAAGCAAACACTATAACATATTTATTAGAAAACGTTTCGGTCCTGGGACCTTGATCACTTCTAACATACAGAGGTAGAAAGACATTATATCGGTTCCGAAGACTATTAGCAGGCAAGTTTTGCCTGCACAGTAGGCTTTTTCAAGGCAGACAGAATATGCCTGGTTGCAACTTGGTATATACAACAACAGTCAGGTGTGACTGAAATAATTAAACAAATATAGAGGAGCACCTTTGCTGGCTTCTACTCTAGGCCGAGAGACATGATCTAGCACCTAGGGTGATGAACTGATTGCACTAAACAACCTCTCCGCTTCGTCTTCCCCTCAGGGAAGGTTCCTTGATGCTGGTGAGGGGATCTTGATCTAGGGAATTGGATCTGTTCTCCACTTCCCTGAATTAAATCTGAATACCTTCCACATACCCCCCCTCAGGCGCTGTATAATCTTACGGGTTTAGCGCTTCCCCCTTGATTCTAATAATAAATCCGCTTCGTCTTCCACCAACGCTGTCTCTGATTTATCTCGATGTATGACTGGTAAAGCCTACAGTGCAAGCGAAACGTTTCTTCAGTAACGATTCTCAGTGTTGCACATTTGTCTTGCTTATCTACTTGTCGATATTATACACGATTTATAATTTGAAACATAATGACGTGACGAGGTGTGGTAGTGGTATCAGCATGCAGAGTGGTGTGTCGTTCATCACGGTATGTTTTGTTGATCATTTGTATTCTAGGTGTGGAAAATACTGTATATATTTTCCGGAAATACGGTAATTTATAGGTAAATAGATGCCCTATATTGTATTTTTAAAAGAAGTATGTTATCGAAAATGGGAAACCTGCGGCTGGGGAGGTCAGTCGCCATTTTGGTTTTTGAATTGGATACAACGTTAGTGTAATGGGAAGGAATTTTCGTGCTCTAGAGGTTAAAATTGGGCTGACACCTCTCAAATAGGAGGCGAAATTGTTGAATGTGCATTCCTGCATAACTTGAGATATCAGGCGACAGGACAGGACAACTCCAGGAACCTCAGATAAGCTGTCTAATTTATGTTTGATTTCTGGCCAGTAAAATTTTCATAAATGTAGGCAAAAGGGGGGGTCCTGTACATGACACATTAATCTCCAGTCAAATTGGTGAGTGTTATGATTAAGATATTCTCTTTCTGTTATGTATATGTGTATCTATAATCATTTATTATTTTTAATATACAGTCCACAAATTTATATATTTACCAGCATTCCTGGTGATGTATTTTTCATTTGTAAGTAATAGGTCCAGAGCAACTTGTGGATATGACAGTGGTAGGTATCGAAGGGGGACATTTTTTGCGACCTAAGTGTCCCAAATTCCTACTTATCTAATTGATAAATAATAATTATCTTTGTTATTTACTGGTATGTACATTATGAGTTACATCCAGATAAATGCAATTTTCCACACTAGGTGTCTGCCAATCAAAAGCTTTCTTGTCTCTGATTAATTGTCGGCTGGCGTCATAATCGAGGTTTCATAACATTGTCTTGTATATTTATCACCTCTCCATCAGAAAAACTCATAGAAGGGTGGTCGTAAGTTCCTGTGCTTGTCGCACGCATATCAGGTTACTTGTTCAACAGGTGGGGTTGTGTTCATTGATACGAGTGGTTAGATTCTTAGCAGTGTTACCTATGTACAATACAACTTGCTGTAACATCCACAAGGGATTTCGTAAACTTCAGCTTCTGCTGTATGGTTGTCTGTGGCATCGTCAGACAGCCATCGCAGGGTTAGACATAACTGTCACAGGGTTAGACATAACCGTCACAGGGTTAGACATAACAGTCACAGGGTTAGACATAACTGTCACAGGGTTAGACATAACCATCACAGGGTTAGACATAACTGACACAGCGTCAGACAACCGTTACAGCACTGACATTAGGATGCTATGGTCATCTTGTCAGCAGGCTGCTCTCACCTCACTGATACTAGGATATTGTTATGCAAGGCAAGGTGCGCATGCACGCTCGTGGTAGGAAAAGATTTAAACACAGCTACACAGTGAGAACTTTAATGAAAACACCTGAAATATAACACAATATAATCATACATTCATAGTTCATTTACTAGTACAATGACTTCGTAATCAAGAGCACTTCCACTGCACTATGATTTGTACCTCATTTTTGCGGCACTGCACAGGACACTGGTGAGAATATCTGCCAGTTTCCACACAGTAGTTATATACGGGGAAGGGGTCAGGGACCATTTGATGTATAAAGTCTGTATTATGTGTTGGATTTTAGCAGTTAATATAATGATGTTTATTCAACAGTTTAGGGTTTACACTGAGTGTCTCCAGCATATGAAACTGATATATATATATATAAGTAATGTGGACTTTCCTTCCCTGGACTCTTCTCCCATCAACATATTCCCCCAGTCCTTCCTTTTCCCTCCCTCTCCCTACTCTATAAGACAGGTTATTGGTACAGTTTGTCAAGTTGGTCATCACCTCTACATTAAATTATCCGTTCAAATTGTTTAGTTTTTCTTCTTATAAAACAATAATCTTCCAACTCATATTTGCGTTGTTGTATTGCTGGCTGGCTGCTTGTGTGGGATGGTTGGACGAGGGAGTTTAATATATTATGCACCCCATACCCATCCTGTGGGCGGTAGTCAAAAGATTACAGAGGTACATAATGGGTCCAGGGACTGAACCCCAAAGTTATGATAGCTGAACTAGTTACAAAGGTAATGAACTCCAGGTAGATCTGGTCACAATCATGGCAAGTTACGAAGGTAATGAATCAGCCTCACTCCTATACATGGTTACAGTCATGAACAAATTACAAAGTAATGAGCCACTGATACGTCCACACCTGGTCACAATTGTAATGAGTTATAAATACAAATATTAAGTGGATCATACACCCACACGAGCGCGCGCGCGTACATACACGAGGGCGCACGCACAGACACATGCACATGAGCGTACTACACACAGTTTGGACGAGGGAGTTAAATAGTTAAATATAATGGTAGGGACAGGAAGGACGTGACTTGCGGGTTTACATAGAAAAGCAGCATATTTAAATGAGAGTACATATATCGAAATTGGTTGGTAATTCAACATTGATATTATATATATGCATGTAAAACAACCATTGTTGATAATGTGAGAAATCGCGGAAGCGCTTAGATGTTCACTATTTTTTTCAGAGTGATTGTTTTGCATATTGTGATCTTGTTGCATAAACCTCCGAGTTTAGTGCTTCGTGAATCGTAGAGCACAGTGAGTGGTGGAGGCTCGAATCTCCGTCCGCTAATCGTGATCACTTGACTAATTTCCTGGAAGGGCATGAATCCTTCGGTGAGCAAATTGGGTCTTCCCACTGACGACTCTTTCCAGCTAATAGAAAAAAGATTGGCCAGCCTGTGATACCTCCTTCAGACTGGTTCTTTGTATCTAGAGAGGAAATACCTTGTGGTATCCCCTGGCTGTCTACGTCCCTTCAGAGTGGCTTCCAGCTGGTGCCAGGCAGGAAAGGGCAAGAGTGAGAAGTGGGTGTGGAGTCAGGAAAATCCGGTGAGTGTGATGAGCCTGTTGAACTTGATTTGGAATGTTGTTGACCTTGTGGTACCACTATCCGATGCCACTCAGTTGGACGTCAGATGTGAGAGTGAGGAGTGGCTGGTACCAATCCTACACGGTTAGTAAGCATATAACTGGCTCGCCAGTGGGGTCAGTTACAGAGGATGGGAATGGTTCAGTTTCCAGCAAGGAACTGAAGCATATAACTAGCTTTTCGATTGTGATCTTGACAACTAAGTAATAACAGAGGGTGAGGACTGGCTGGTTCGATATCCAGCAAGGAACATAAGTATATAACTGGCTTTCTGGTGTGATCTTGATAACTAAGTGTTTACTCTCAACAAGGATACATAGTCTTCCATCCTCTCATCAGTTAAGGATCACCTTCTATAAACACTTAGCGTGTACAGGCCTTGAGTGATGCTCTGGTGTTAAGTTCACTGCACTACACTAAACATCACGGTCTTGCAAGTAAGTAAACTTTATATTAGTTGATAAAGAACCTCAGTAATTACATTATGGTGCAATGAGCAACATTAATATTAATGTCTTAGGTATAGCATGTTAAGTGACAAATGAATGATGAAATTTAAATCAGTTAACTCCCGCATAATAAAAATAAAAGAAAGCTAACATAGACCCCATAAATGTTATTGTGTGATCAAAGAATGAAAACATCAGGAGAAAATTAAATATTTTATTACCAGAATGAAAACATCAGGAGAAAAATAAATATTTTTTCACCAGAAAATCACTTAAATACGGTTGTGTAATAACATTTTATAGTTTACTGCAGACTTCGAAATAGTTTTTAAATTATGGATGTTGAAATGCTGAAACAAAAATCACAATGTGCGTTAGAAGAGTACAAAGTATTTGTATTTAATATGGCCTTAATGTGTATCTGGAAAATGCTGGAAGGACTGGTTTTAAATCTGCACACTGAAATTTGTCTACGAGTGCATGGAGCTTCCACCACTTCTTGTGCTGAATGACCTGCGTGGGGTTTAGCATTAGACCTGAACAATAATCCACGAGCGTGTACAGATGTGGCTCTCTCCTGTTCTGGCAACTCTGTTCTATATTCCCATGTCATAAATTGTTATATCCAAACACCTGCACACACCACACTGACAGCACACACGTTTCTTGGATCCCACACACATATATGTCTCATACTGCTGCTTCTAGGTATTCATAACAATCTCAGTATGCCCTCTTCAAATTCTATTATTACTGAAAATGGTAAATAATGTTAATGTCCAGTGTAATGGGAACCCATCGTTTCAATAACCAGTGAAATATCTGGGAATCCATTTCGACCCAAGCATGTCAGGAGAAATAATAGGGAACATTGTAGTAAAGAAAGCGAATGTCCTCAACAGACAGGCATAGTGTCTACCTACTGAGGCTCGCAGGACCCTATGTCTAGTTCTTAAACAGTGTCATATAGATTACTCTTGCTCTTCATGGTACTCTGCCTTTAAAAAAAATGAAAGATAGGCTACAAATCACCCAGAACAAAATAGTAAGATTCATTCTGAACTTGGGTCCAAGAGAGCATGTAGGCCAGGATGAATTACAACAACTAGATATGCTGAATGTTGAAGATAGAGTAAAACAACTAAAGTTCAATTACGTTTAGAAAATTACTCACAACAGAGTCCAGAATGTCTTGCTGCCAGTTTAGTTAACGCTGAGAACCAAAGCAATTATAGTACTAGGATGAGGGAGGACAACTTTGCAGTACCTACAGTCAATGGTCAAGCTTCGAACACATTTTATTGTACAGCCATAAAGGAGTGGAATAGACTACCTGCACATGTCAAAGCCTGCCATAGCATAAGCCAGTTCAAGAAGAGAGCCAAAAAGTACCTAATGAATATGGCTACAGAATGGGAGGAGAGTGATTTATTGTATATCTAACATACTTGTACTATGATTTAATCCCATTTTTAATGTTAATGTAAATAACTGAATTTACCTTATCCCCAGAGTGTCTCCTTTTGTTATAACTGCTTTTCACATAGTTAAATTACTGTTTTAACTTTTAAGTTTTAAATATTAAGTTCTCACAAAGACCCAATGGAAATGTTACTTTGACTTTTCTGGGTCATCCTGAGTAATCTACACATATGCTGCTATGTATGATAATTTATGCAACTCTATTTATGTGTACCTGTACCTGAATAAACTTGTGTATGAGAACCGCCCTGCATGGAAGCTTGTGGCATGGGAGCTGCTGGTGGTGTTGGTTGTGTTGTTAGGGGAAATATCCGTTCAGTGGTGTTGGTGGTTCTAGAGACGGGGACGCAGCGAGGAGCAAGTGTTGGCAGGTGTTACTATAAACGGTACCCTTCACCAACTCCAAGGCTGAGGGACTGATTACCTCGTGTTTTTATATAGTTATACAGTCTTCCCATTATGGCTTTGAATTTGTGTTGATAAACCCACTAGATGGCGAAACGTCTACAAATAAATATACCTACATGTTGCGCATGTGACATTCTTCATCTTGTCGGTATTGTATACCATTCATGTACAACAATGTTACACTTCATAATCTTGCTCTTCTCCCCTCAAAGAGTGCCGCTCAGTGGGGTGATGTGAGGTTTGTCGATCAAAACGCTTAGGTCATAACCGGGTTCGATTTCCGGCGAAACGTTTGGGTAAGTTTCATTACACACTTGCTGACTTTGCTAATCGAACAGTAAAAATGGGTTCATGTGAGGTAGTCTTTTTTGTGGGTCATATCCTGAGACAATAATTATGCAAATATCTTATATTCATATGCACAGTGTGTGAAACTCCAGCGCTGCTGGGAGTGTTGGATAAAAAGGACCCCAATGGAAATAAGTCACTCTTGACTTTTCTGGGTTATCCTAGGTTCTCTACACATATGCTGCTATGTATGATAATCTATGTAACTGTATTTGTGTATATCTGAATAAACTTACTTATTTATCCGTACCGTAGTTTGTTTGCAATTGTGTCATTACGATTTGAGTCAGTGAGGTGTATCTAGTGATGGTGATGTAAATAAGAAACTAAGTGTGTGATGCGGGACCAGGCAAAAGACTCCAAACCAGTATTGATGATGAAATAGTTTTAATAATTTGCCATCCCTCTCCCCTCCTCCCATTACGGTTCATCAATGTCCATCACCGTTCTCTGTGATACTGATGTCCTTCCTCGCACAGTCTCCACAGTTTTTTTGAAAAATGTACGAAATATGTGAACTTGTAGACCTCGCTTTCCCAACAACGTGTAACTCAGTTGCAGCGCCAGTTCACCTAGCAACTAGGGAGATACTCGGCTGTTGTAGCATCCTGGGGTTGTAGCTAAGCTTAATTGGGTGTTGACTGTCGTGGGTGGTAGTCTGTGAGGCGTTAATTTACCTTAGATGGGGCTTGGTTTTGAAATGAGCAAAGAAACAGTTCTAAGTCTAAATTCAGTGGAGTAAAAAAAAAAGTTGCCAAGCTTACTTCTACTGCCGCTAATTCTCTCCAGCTATATAGCTGTGGTTGCTACGTTGGACTACCGGCGGCTAGCAGTATCAGGCTGGTTAACAAGGCCTTGATGCCCCTGAAGGTCTGGTCTGGGACCGTGCTGTGACGAGGTAATGGTTACTGAACTTTTTTCCTCGATTGTGTTACAACTACTTCCAGGTTGTATATCCAGTCAATAAGAAAGAAGTGGCCATGTTTATTGTGCACCCCAAATCCATCCTGTGGAGGGTAGCGCAAGAGCATATGGATACACAAAAGGTATGGGAACTAGGCCCCAAAAGGGTTTACAGGAGTGCATGTGGATTTATATCTACAGTTCACTAGATTAACGAGAGAACCCGTGAAGGCGATAGTGGGCATGGGCAGGAGAGTAACAGGGGTAAACCAGCTCTTTTTTTTATTTACCTTCGTGGAAAACAGGTTTAATAAAAACACGCTTATGACATGGCAGAAAAAGACTTGGTTCCCGGACGAACAAGATCTAGGGTGCAGCATTGTGACGTTAGTTCTGGGAGCGTGCTGACCGTGGTTCATGACCACTTTTTTTTCCATCTTCCATGCACGAATTTGCAATGATGATAATTAAACCTTTGACATCAACTTCATGAATAAGTTTTTCTCGTATTCCGATATTCTTCAGAGAATGTATTAGTGTTGAGGCTTGATGATGCCTTGGTGGTGGAGCAACATAATGTTTCAGAGAACCAGGTGTGGGTTAACACAAGACTGTACCAGAGCTGCTTCAAACTGCCGGTGACGGAGAATTTCTTTTAATGGTGATGATGAAATTAACCGGATGGTGAGTCACCGGTGCTGCTATAATCGCTCCCTGAGAGCTCTCAGTAGCTCAACATCAGTAAAGGCTATTACTATTACTCACACAAGAGAGCCAAATTGGGTAATATTGAAATTGGCATCACTCAGCTCATTCAGACACCCTGGACTGTGTTCTAGGACACAGTCCAGCCAGGACTGTCTTAGGACACACCTGCTTGGGCTCTCCTGAAGCCTATTCTTTCCATTGCATTGCTCCTAATGAAGTGTTTGCAATTGCAGCACGGAAGGCTTAGAGCAACATCACCCTCCCCCTCCAGCGGTTACTGTGCATTGTTGATCGCTTGTTTCCTATTGTTGCAATATATATAACTAACCATTATAGAAAATGGTTATTGAGAATTATGAAAATGGTGTACAGTATCGGCAGCTTGATGAGTAAGTCTGGAACAATTGTTCCACACCATGGAGGTGAACTCTCCTCCAGGCTGAGAGACTGACCACCAGGTACACATACTACTGCTTCAAAGTTGATGGATGATCACATCATCTTCACCTCGCCACCACCTCTGCTGTCTCCATATTTCATCTGTATTTGAAGAAGTCGAATGTGTAGGCGAAACGTTTCAACAATAAATACATGGTTATTTACATTAAGTAAACAAGTGACTGAAACTCTTGAAAGTTAGTGTTGGATGGTGTTATATTAGTCTGCATGGTAGCCTTTTAACAAGGGAAAACAATAAGTATATTTTTTATTTTATTCATAAAAACAAAGTTCTCTTGAGAAGAGCAAATGTCTTACAAAAAAGAAATGCATTACAAAAACAGCGGTCTTATATGAATACAAAGGTCTTACAAAAAGCAGTCAATGTTATGGTACTGCCATACAAAAACTATTCTCATTAAGAGTCATTGCATTCGTTCACGTGAAAAGTTTGCTAAAATTCCTAGATAAAGAAAGGCGGCTCAAGCTACACAATATTAGGGAATGTGGTCATAGTGGTCCGTAAATGTCACAACTGCCACTCTGTAATCTGTAAATACCTTTGTAACTTGTCATGATTGTGACTAGACCTACCTGGAGTTCATTACCTTTGTAAATTGTGAGTTCATTACCTTTGTAAATTGTGAATTCATTACCTCTGTAACTTGCTCAGCTATCAAAACTTTGGAGTCCAGTCCCTG